CTTTGTGTGTGTTGTTAGGAGTGGCTAGTCATTGGAAGGAGATATCTATCACATGTAGAAAGGCAGAGGGTCACAGAAGGTGAGGATAACCCTCAATGAGATGGACCAGCACAGTGACTGCAATAGTGGGCCTGAGTGTGACAGAGATTGGGGTGACAGCCCAGGGTAGGCCCAGGTACAGATCTGCTGATCATAGGGTCGCTGGGAGGCACAGCTGTCTTGGTGATGCTTAATCTGAACTGTTTGGTGACTGAACAAGAATCTAAACTGCCAGTTCTGTCAAATTCAGGTCTGTCAGTAGCCGAAATCTACCGCTTGTCATCCCTTTGGTGATGCTTTGACAGCATACAACAACAACAACAACAACAACAACAACAACAACAACAACATGCTATTGTTAGCGCCCCACCTGGTGGCAAAAATATACACAATGAAATGAAATACTGTACAATCCCATGCCACCTGCAAGATCAGCTGTGTGTCCAGTCATTGTGACCCATGAGGCTCTCACCCACTGGCTACTATCTGGAAGCACATTGTCAGGCCTTTGTTCCTGGTCTGCCCGAGTCTGGACACTCTAGTGAAATATATTCAGCATCTCAGTTACGCACAAGACTCCTCCATCAGAGGAATCGTGGCTGTAATTGAGGCGTATCAGCCAGGAATCAAACACGAGTCTCCCTCCCGGAGGTAAAAGTTCTCCTACGGTGTCACTGGCCCCTGCACTTACGCTACTTTAAAATAAGGAATTTATTCACCCATTGTTGCATATGCTACTTTCTTTAAACAAAAGCTTTGCCTTTGAGTTTTTGCAGAGAAAACAAGTAAAAAAAAGAAAAAGTCTGTCTCCCCTTAGACAAACTGACCTTGGCAGCTGTTTAGATGACTAGTAAACCTTCAGGGAGGGGATGTGTAAGGCTGCTGTGACAGGGCGGCGGCGTGAGCAGGCGAACACACAGAGGATGCCTCGGCATCCCCCCAGGCAAGCAACGGCAGCCAAGCAGTACCCGGTTTACACACATCTGATCTCCATGCTTCCTTGCTCAGAAACACCTAGCCGTAATCTGGCAGCTGGAGCCCCAAGGAGGGGGATTCGCACCCCACAGCTGCCTATCTGGAACCCTGGCAGGGCTTAGGAAGACTTTTCTGCATTTCATCAGTGGATTAGGAGCAAGAACACTGTTTAACCCTCAATGCGTCTCCGAAGTGCTGCTAGTGGAGAAAGCTAGGAGAAGAAGGGAGGAGCCCTGGTCCTCGGTCCTGACTGGCAGTGCCACTGGGGGCAGCCCATCAGGGATGAGAGAGGAGATGGAAGGGTAAGTTGGGCAGGAGGTACCAGGGACTTGGCACTAAATAACAGAACCCACAACAAAATCCAAGGCAGAGAGTCAACATCGACTTGACCCTATCAGGACCCCTAACAGCTGTCTTAACATTGCTCCCCCAACCTCCTCTGCAGTCCACTTTCTCCCAGGTGCTGATGTTCATTGCCTCTGAGTCTATTCCGACTCGGTGGCCTCACAGGTGCAGGGGATGTGACCTCAAGGAAGTAGATCACCAGGCCTGTCTTCTGAGGTACCTTTGAGAGGATCTGAATACTAACCTTCTGGTTAGTAAACAAGTGCTTAACTGTGACACCCAGTGACTCCTGCTGCTTACCCTGGATGAACACTGTGAAGGACAAAAGAAATGTACCTTTGAAGCACTCAGAAATGGCCCATACCTTTTAGTCACTAAAAGGTGATACTGATGTTCCTTTTAGCATTCATCAATGATACACAGCAGTTCTGAGCCCTCCACTCAAATATCACTTTCAACACATGCAGCTGTGCCTGGCATTTTATGGGGCTCTAGCAAGTAGGGTACCAGGCCCAGTCTCTATGCTTTTTCAAAGCCCACAGCCTCTAACACAAACAAACTCTTGCTTTCACTGTGAGCTGCTAAAAATAACCACCTGGCCACCACTGACAGAAGAACTCTGATTATGGGCTTTATATACTTTTATTGGCTCTTCCCCCCTTTTATTCTTTTCCCTCTTATTGAAAAAAAGAACACGTTGGTTAAGAAGAAATAATCCATCACCTTAATTATACCACTTCTCATTTCTTCCTTACTTTTTTTTTAGTTTGTTTTCCCTTTACACAGTTTTTCATTTGCTAGAGCTGAAATTCCAGGAAAAGATATATTGCTGCACTATGTTTATAGACACCACTTTAAAAAAAAAAATAAAAGGAGGAGGAAAAAATGCACGCCCAGTCTACATTGTTTAAAACGTGACTCACTGCAACAGCTAAAAGGGTCTTTTTCGAAATCACATGACACCACCACTTGTTCATTCTCTCTCCTGTTCTCTCTGTATACTTTTTTCCTCCACACCTTGTTTCCCTTCATTACTGACTCACTGTGGTATGCAATCAAAGTACTCCCACTAAGCAGAAAACTCAAGGTGATTTGAACAAAAAGAAAATGTTTTAAGGCAAGAAAACAAGTAAGAGGCAGAAAATGAAAGATACTTCAATGTCTCAAAGAGAGGAATAGCTAATAAGCCCAGGTCCAAAGGCTACTTTTATTGCATTTCCCTAAAGATTTGTCTAGTACACATTGGTCTCTCCCAAAGAATGAGCTTATTTCTGTCTCATGATTAATTTATAAATGGAAAAGGAAAACAACTCGAGTTCTAAAACCACACTGGCATTGTCAGTCTCTATTGTTAAGAGGGTTTCACCATAACCATGTCTACCCAAACCTGACTTCTCCTTTCAGTGAAAAGCGTGCTTAGCTGCCTAGGTACCCATGTCCTGTGATCAACAGAGAACTCCCACTGTCCTGACCAGGAGAGGAACTTTATGCCAATCACCTGGTGAGACAGAGTGGGCATTTCTCCTTCCTCCCACAAATGGGTGACTTTGAATGAAGACACAGCATTGCACCCTGAGGTCAAATGGGCTCCAAGCTGGGCAAGAAGAGAACTCTCAGCCTTGGGTGCATCTGGACGGCTACCAATGTGAAATGCCACTGTGATCCCAATTGTTACTTTTAATTCCAAACTTGGTCTTGCCTCTGTGTTCCTTGGCCAAATCTCTATTCCTCCAAACTGGGTTTTCTCCTTCCAACGATGCTCATCTTCTAAGCCAGCAGCCACAGAGCAATCTTTGCAATCCCCAAACTGCCTTTGCTCAGCCCGTCAGCAGCCCGAGGTAGGCGCAGCGAATTCTTACCTTCAAGTCCCTAAGCCCTGTGTTTATTTTGGCTAAATGAGCACGGCTGCTCTGATTATCTATTATTTATATATTTTAAAGAAGAGAACATGACCTGCCTGTGAAACCTCATGGTAAACACAGCTTCAAGGAGAGCACACGGGCCCTGGTTGACTTACTCTCACAGAAGCGAAGCACTCAGCCACCACCGCCCTTGTCAATCTTGGGCCAGGATATGAGTGGCCAAGAGAAAAACAATGTCTGTGACAGTCGCTGGCAAGACTTCAGCTAGCCTTTCCTGGGAGCTTGGAATTTCAACAATCCAATGGGATTCAGGTGCAAAACATAAGCCCTTCACCAGGACAAGTGTTACCTTGGGTCCTGAAGGTTAGAACTTGAACTCAACCGTAATCCAAGCTGTGGAGTTTTGCTCTCAGCCTTCCTTCCAATCCTTTGGGTCCACATTCAATTAAACCCCACACCCACAGAGCACCAAAATGTGTATGAGAATACACGTCAAACTCTGAAATACAGGCTGGGCAGGAGGGCATGGGGCTCAGGGAAGTTCGGGCAGGTTAGAAAAAAAGAAAAGATTTTCTATTTGGATATTCTTCCACCCAGTGGCTTCATCCCCTCGCCTACTGTCTTGGAAATATGGAGAATGAGTGGCGAATTAGGCAAGATGATTTGAAGACAGAAAGCACATTTAGGTGGCAAAGCAGGAATTCGTCTCTCTGCAGCCATGAGCTGGACAGATTAATGAGAGTGAAGATAACGAGCTCAGACATCAGATATAAAAATGACTTCCCTTATCTCTGAGATGCTGTCACCTGTGGGGTTAAACCTAGATGACACAACCTCACACGATTGCTTGCATAAAATGGGTTATAAAACATCCCTGTCACTAGGTGAGGGTGAGGGTGTATGATTCTGATTCTACACTTGGGACAAAGGAAGGGACACATTTAAAGAGGCTGCTGTTAATGCTTTTCACCTAAATCCTGGATAGAAACATCAAGTGTGCCATTCAACTCATCCCTAACACTGTAACAGCACACATATTTATCATCATCCAAGACTGGAGAGTGGCTTTAAAAAGAAGATTCCTGAGTGAGGAAAGCTCCCAAATTCTTCTCATTTGGCTCTATTAGTGTCTAAGGGATAAAAACACCCTTCTCCACTTTTCAGTCCAGTCCTGTCTTTTAAAGTACTCTACCTCTAGTCATCACACGTATGTCCTTGTTCCTGTTACCAGACACCAGTTCCTGAATTCTATAATTTGTCCTCCTCCAGATAACTGTCCCCTCTGCCTTTTCCCTAACTTCCTTCCCTCACATATCTGCCAGCCAGTGCACCTCACTGAGGGTTAATTGAGATTGCTGCCTTGGTCCCCTGCAACTGGAAAGAAATCATCTTCAGGCTAAAATAAATCATTGCCACCTCATTTCACTTTTAATTTACTACTTATTTTTTTTTGTTGTTGTTCCTCCATCTTCCCACAGCCTCTCCTTTCTTACCACTCATGCATTTTCAGCCTCATTGCTCCCCGTTGGACAATGCAAGGCTGAAAGGTTTATCTGTAACCTATTTGTCTCTATTATAGGTTTCTAAACTTTAATTAACAGGAGACAGCGAGGATCTCAATCCCCCTTCCCCTCTGTCTAGAGGTGTTGTTGGCGCCACCTAGTGTTGGGAAACTGAGGAGTCTGTTGACTCTTGCAAGAAGTGACAAACTTGGAGTTGAATCCTTCCAAAAAATTCACAATACATAGGGGAAAGGAAAAGGCATGCATTTTTTTTTACCTTGAAAATTCTCACCTGCAAAAGCTGAGATGGGTTCTAGAAAACAAAATAAAGAAAAATGAATGTTAGATAAAGGAAAGAAACCATAGGGTATAATGAAAGTGACTTGGGCATTTTTGTAATGCCCTCAATTTATCGGCACCCTCTTTGTGTTTGGGACTGTCTAACAGATCACCTTCAGGGTGGGTGGGGAGCTGATCTCAAAGTTGCTTTGGAACAAAAAGTCCTTCATAGAGTAATGGGTCCCCGAAGCATTGTAATCAGTCACTTACTACTGATTACTTTCTCAGAGCCTGGATTACTTTTAGAGGCCCGAGGCTGAGAGGTGCCCAGTGGGACTGGGGCAGTCCCAGGTGCTTCTGACATCACCAGGCGGGCACACACCCCTGGGGTCATGTGCCTAGGTAAGTGCTTGGTGAGTTATTAAAGTCATGCTGCCGACTCAGGATTACACCCTCTTGCTTTCAGGAACGTCTGTGACTTTGAGAGGAGATAAACTGGGTGCCCTTGGGGACTTCTTCTGCAGGCACTGAATCGTGTGTGTGTGTGTGTGTGTCAAGGTGATCTGGCTGTTCAGCCCTTCTGACCAGGTGACAGTCATGGGGTCATATCTGAGTCTCTCACCTGTCATGGGGTAGTTAATCTAACAATAGTTCTAGGGCATTGGGCATTAGCAATAACAACTTTAGGGCAAATCTAGACTCTCCCTTCACATGCTATGGCGCTGCAATCCATTCATGTAAAAAGTTCTACTTGGGTAATTGTGTTATCACTCTTATATAACATATGTACTATTTTTGCCTCCCAGCAAAAGCTTCCATTAAAGCCATCAAATCTTCCCAGCATGTAATTCTGACTGGCAGTTGCTCTTGTCCTCTAGCATTTTCTTTGCTAAAAGCTGGAGTTTGATGATGGGGTCTTGGCACCCTGGATCTCCACAATCTTAGCACATGTCTATTTCTGATTGGGAACAGAGATAGAAACCTCAGCTGCACCCCTCCCATTCTGAAGTCAGCCCAGCTACACTCATACCTCACCTCCCACAGGGACTGCCGCTGCCCTCCCGGTGCTGCACATTGGTTTGGAACGGTGTGCTGCCTCATCTTGTATGCCCCAGCCCCCAGCGTCTGATGTGGAAAAGCCACTAAGGGCCGTCACGTACCCATGCAGCTCTCTAGCGGGACGTCGGTGCTGAGCCGAATGTCATCAATGGCAATCTCTCCCGAGCGTCCTTTCCCTATCATTCCCTCAAACACGATCTAGAAACCAGAAAACAAAAGTTGTTAGCGGAGTTTCCCAGCCCAAGTAGTGTAATAATTCCTTAATTTCTTTTAACTGGAGGCTAACGTGTATGTAGGTGGATAAGTATGTAAACGTGTAGGTGTACTGGTAGGTAGGTGTGTTTGAGGGTGTACAGATACATAAATGTGTGTGTACCTGGTACTCGTCTGTTGTCCATATGACTATGGAATTTGAAATCTTAATTTTTAAAGAGAGTTGGCTCAAATCAAATGCATAGGCGGGATTAATAATAACAGTAATATAAGCCAAGAAGGTGCTACATTATCATTGTCCAGGAACTAGAACGGGTTGGTTAAAAGAACCACAATCAGATGTACTTAAAGGTAGGGTTGACATTTCCCTAGTTGTGTGAGGTTTTTTTTTTTTCTTTTTTTTTAAAGTTCCTTTCTCATAAATGTTTCCAATGCCCAAACCAGGCATTTGAAAACTCAGGGCATACATAGGTTGGAGTGATGTAAGAAAGACGTCGCTTTGGGAGCACATTGCATTATGGTTCCCTTATTACAGCGCTTTGATTACCACAAGGAAGGACAGTATTTGTTCTCAGCAGTGCACTGAGCACCTCTACTACGTGCTGGACACAGAGCAGTTACACAGGTATGAAGGCAAGACTTTGTACTAGAGGAGCTCACCATGTAGTGGGTGAGACTAAAATGGGTGTAGGAACCTACAACCCAGGACAGTAAGAGGCCCTGGTAGTGCAATGGGTAAACACTCAGCTGCTAAGGTACAGGTCAGTGGTTTGAATCTACCAGTGGCTCTCATCAGACAGGAGGAAGACTTCCTTGGAAGTCTGCTTCTAAAAAGACTACAGTCTCAGAAATCCTGAAGAGCCAGTTGTCCTCTCTCCTAGAGGGACACTAAAAACGGGAAATAGACTTGATGGCAATGAGTTTTCTTGGTGGAGGGGAGTGGCTTATAGGACAATGAATACGAATGACTGAAGAGGAATTGTTGCTTTTGAATTGTGTCCTCAAGGAGTGCTGAGTATCCCATGGACGGCCAAAACCACAAACAGGTCTGTCTGTCTGTCTTGGAGGAACTGTGTCTCACAGACTTTGGGCAAGTTGCTAAGAAGGGCCAGTCCTTAGAAAAAAGACATCATGCTAGGAAAGGTGAAGGGTCAGAGGAAGAAAAGAAGACCCCCAACAAGATGATTTGACACAGTGACTGTCACAATGGGCTTGAGCATATCAGATGTGAGCACGGGCACAGGTTAGGTTAAAAGGGTTGCCATGACTCCTAGCTGACTTGATGGCCCATAATAACAACAACAAACATAGGTGTCTAAGTGGGACCCCAGGTGGTGATGGGAAGGGTCTCAGGACACCTCCTAACCTTAAGAGAGCGCCTATACACTCCATACAGAAGGCCCTCTGCTCTGTGGTCTCCAATCATCCCTCACCCTCTCCCTCCTCAGGTTCTCTCTGCAAACTAGTACACGTCCTCTGGCAAGCTGAGCGAGCAGTTGGCCGCCTCACCAGCCATCTGTTGCTGCTTCTCGTCTGGGGAGGAGCAGGTTAATGCTTTGGCTGGTTCCCAGTCACCTCTTCCACGGCGTGTCTACTTCTACCCAAGTTTCAGCCGCAGCTGCGCATACCCATCTGTGCCTCAGTCTCTTGCTCTGTAGGACAGAGATAATAGAGCCCAGCTCATGGAGCTGTGGAGAAGAGGCCGCTTGAATGGGAATCTCTCAGGTCTGCTGGCCAAAGAGTCACACAGCATATCCCCTCCACTTTCCTGGGCTTATGATCCTTGGGATTTGTCTGGGAGCTCCTTCCCACTTCCTCCTTGGATTCTAAGGAGACCTCACAGGCCTCCGCTCTTATGTGTGGAGGGTTTGTTTGTGTTTCTTTCCCTGGCTTCTGTGTGCCTTTGTCAGCCTACCTGATAGCAATCTAAAATAAAATGGAGAGAAGAAACATTTGTCGGGGGAAGATTTCAGCAATATAAAAGGCAATAGGAGGAACAAAGAACCAAGTCTGGGTGTAGAGATAGGCACATTCTGAATAACAAATAAGAGTGTCATTTAGTTGCCATGACAACTGGAGAAACACAATGAAAACAGCAGGGCTTAACCACGTTCCCTAATGATGAATGGGCATGGCCCTTTGAAATATTGAAACACAGATCACAACGACTCCCTGGCATCACCACACAGGCTCCCTCCACCACCCCACCTGGTACTCCATGTCGTAGCGGGGCAGGATGATGCGCCCGTGTTTCCACTCGCTGCCCTGGTCCTCACGGATGACCCACAGGAGCTTGCTCTCCTGGCTGGCTTCCCTCACCACCTGCAGCGTCACCCCGCGGCTGCCCGTGGCTTGATACTGGAACTCCATGCACACGGGGCTGTGGGGCAAATGCACGGGCGGACTGATGAGCCGCCCATACTGGCCCTCTCTCCGGCCGTCATTCTGCAGCCTCAGGAAATTCTTGTCATCTGGGGGAAACAAACCCAAACAGAGGTGCTCAGTAAATGCTTGGCTAAGACACTACTTAACAGCAGTAGCTTCTCCAGGGGAAAGTTGCGATCTGACCTCAGGTGTCTCATCTAGTCATACCCACCTTTACTTTCTAGGACCTGCTGTTAAGTCTCTTTAGGAGAGCTACAAAAGAAAGGGTTGGTGGTCTGCTTCCATAATGATTACTTGTAGGACACTGTAATCCATGGTGTCACCAGGAGTGGGAATTGACTTGATAGCAACAGATCTGGGTTTTTTCAGTCCCTTTGTAAATACTCCTTTAGAATTTTTATCCAAATGCTAAGTTTTAAGTTGGATACATAGTCTTTGTTAATGATAATGCTCAAAGCCACCAGGTTCAGACCTCCTCCCATTTGGGACAAGAGAAACCCTTCCTGTGTTCTTCATACTTCTTTCATAAATAGGACTTTGTTCAGTCTGGCTTATGTATTTTTCTGGTTGTATGCATGTTTGTCTTCTTCCACTAGATTCTCCGAGATCAGTCCCCTGTCTCATTAGTTTCCTCAAAGGGCCAATGAAGTCCACTGGGCCAAATGACAAAAGGGACGGCTTCCAGGGATGAGGTGACCACTAGGTTGGAGGGTGATTCTGGCCAGGTGGTTTATGCTTTGAGCCTTTGCCATCTTGGCTGTGTTCTCTCCAAACAGAAGATATTTAAGACCTTCTGTCTCCACTAATATAGCACTAAATGATGCCTGGGCTCTAAGCATTGTGATTGTAAATCAGAGTGTCAACTTTAGGCAGAATAAGGCATGGTGGTGAGTAAAGGACATCTAAATAGTCCATTTTGTTTCCTATCCCAAATGGAGAGGGCTGAACCTCTCTCAGAGACCCAGACATACACACAGCTTCACAGATAACAGGTGATGTTAATATTGCTAAAAAGGGTTTAGCAGTGAATATACACATTCTGGAAATTCAAGGTTTCACCTGTTCAAATTTTTATGGAATGGGTCTTTTGGTTGCAAAGTTTCATATGCATTAAATATTACATAGAAGACTGAGTTAACCCATGGCTTGCAGTGACAGGTGCCAGGGACTACATTTGCACATTCAACTTGTGCAGGATCCCTTGGGTCACTTGCTCTTGCAAAGGAAAGCTTCCTCCTCCTTTAAAGCCCTAAACATAGGAGCACTTTAGCCTGAATGCTTCTGCAAGGTGGTAAGGATACTATCCCACCAAATACGCAGGATGGGATCAGGGGCCCTTCAGACACTACAGGGTCAGCTATGTCCATGTTAATCCCAAACCTGGCTATATGGACACAACTCTCACTCAACAGAGATTATGAAACCTTACTTGCTGCCTCTTTTGGACTCTCTAAGGGTGGTGTTCCAGAAACTACCTTTCTGGAATTCAAATTAGAACAGGTTAAGATGCACACTAGAATTCCAGTTGATCTCCTTAACCATCCAGAGCCATGTCTGTGGTGGTGGCCTATAACATGAGGCCTTTCCAAGATCAAAATCAGGCAGGTTATCTACAGACGAGCATTAAAAACTCTGGTGGCACAACAGCTAAGAACTCTTCTGCCACCTGAAAGGCTGGCAGTTTGAATCTACCACCCAGTAACTCTACAGGAGAATAACAAGGCAATCTGTTTTCTTAACTACTAGAAAACTAGTCTAGAACACCCCATGGAGCAGTTCTTCTCTGTCTCATGGGGCTGACATGAGTAAAAAATAACTTGTCTGTACCCAACGCCACCCATCTGTTCAGGGAGGAGCTTCTAACACTATAAACTAGACATTCAGAGATGTCCCAACTCTTCCCCTATCGGATGTTTTCACTACTGCTGTTAATGATAATAATTATAATGCTCATTTGCATATGTTTTATCTGTTACAAAGCACATCCACATGCATTGTTTCATTTAATCCTTGCTTTATAACTTTGTGAACAAGGTATTATTAATTCTTGCTTTGTACACAAAGAAACTGAGGCCCAGGAAGGCTAGAGTAACTTGTCCATCCTAGATAGGCAAGTAATGCTGTGAATCACCTTTCTCCTGTAAGCATATTTCAGACATGCTGCAGGTATCTCGCCCTCCAGCTCCCACAATCACACTCTGCTCAAGGCCAACCCGCTTCCTGCTGGGCTCTTTGCTCCTTCTTCTTCTCTCATCTCTAGTTCTTCACACCACACCACACCACACCACACCACACCACACCACACCACACCACACCACACCACACCACACCACTTGTCCCACCTGTTTTGCTAGTTCTTCTCCCAGTCATTCTGGCACATGCAACTCAATTCCCACTTCTCTCAACAGCTCCACCATTTACTGATTGCACCACTGATTGTACTGTGTTCTTAAAAGGGCTTGAGGTCATTTTACTGTGGATTTCAGGAGGCAACAACCCACTGCCTTCCACTGTAATCTAAGTGTTCCATGTGTATCTTTCTTATTGCCCCAGTTAGACTTAAGGTCCTGAACTTACACATGTAACAAAGCTAATACATTTGTCTTCCTGCCCTAACTAGACAGTACACACACACACACTGTTATATACTATACACACACACACACACACACACTGTTATGTAGTAGATATATATAGTTGTTGTTATGTACTATATATATAGTTACTATGCACTATATATCATTGTTACATGCTATATACAGTTGTTATGTGCTATATATATTGTTATGTAATATATATATATATATATATATGTTGTTGATTGCCTTTGAGTCAAGCATGACTCATAGCAACCCTATGAATAAAAGGCCTGAAGCCCCTGTGCAACTATTAACATTTATCAAAGTTCATAGAGTTTCCGGAGGCATGTTATTTAGAAAGTGGAGGTTATATATATGCATGTGTGTGTGTGTGTGTGTATATATATATATGTATGTATATATATATATACACACACACACACACACACACACACATATATATACTGTTGTTGTTATGTACTGTTGAGTCAAAACCAACTCCTCACAGCTGACCTTCTAACAGGTTTTCAGAGATGGTCGCATGACAGGAGAATGCCCATCTTTCTCCTGAAGAGTAGTTGGTGGGTTCGAACTGCATGCCTTTGGGTTGGCAGTGCAACTCCTTACCACAAAGCCACTAGAGAGCACTCTCTCTCTCTCTACTACACACACACATACATAAATATATCGAGCCCCAGTGGTATAATGCATAATATGTTGGATTTCTAACTAAAGGGTCAGAGATTTGAATCCATGCGATGGTCCACAGTAGAAAGATTAGCTAGCAGTCACTTACAGAAAAGATTTACAGCTTTGGAAATCCAATGTAAGGTTGTTATGATTCACACTCAACAGAAATGGGGTTTTACTATACATATGATAAAGTGATAACGTGATAAAGTTTTTGGCTTTCATGTGAAAAATTCAAGTTCAATTCCTGGCTCGTGTCACTTACATGCAGCCACCACCCATCTGTCAGGGGAGGTTTGCATGCTGCTCAGATGCTGAACAGGTTTTAGTGGTTTTTACAGACTAAGAAGGATTAGGAGGAAAGGACCAGATTAACTAATGAAAACCTTATGGATCCCAGTGGGCTGGTCTGCCAGATGATGACGAAGATGGGCAAGATAGAGCAGTGGTTTGCTCCACTGTATGGAATCACCATGAGCCCAGTGTCTGACTTGATGGTAGCTAACAACATAACAACAACAACAAATATATCCTATTGCCATCAAGGTGATTCTGGCTCATAGAGACTCTACAGGACAGAAGACAGAACAGAACTTGCCTGGAAGGATTTCCAAGATTGTTATCTTTTCTGAAACAGAATGCTACTACATCTTTCTCAGTGGAGCACTTGGTGGGCAGCTAACCACTAGGTCACCAGGGCTCATATCTAATCCTGCCCCTACCACAAGGAAAGTTAGTTTCTGTGAATAAATGACAAACAAGTGGGTAACGAATGATAAAAGGGTATGTATGGGAAACAAGCATAGGGACAATCAGCCAGCCTCTGGTAATCCCTCAGATTCATATAGTCCCTTCTTACTTCTCTCCTAGCCTTCTGAACCAACAGCCCTTTCCAAAGGTGAGTCAGTAATAACAGAGTGGCCAGGCCGGCAGCCCTCCCACCGTGCCACGAGGAAGAACCACTCTCCCCAGATGCACCCATGCGTCTTAGTAGTTTCCAAGGCTTTTCTGTTTCCACCTCACATAAAAAGGAAACCAAATTTTAGAGACTTATTATTCAGTCTTCTTCCTTCACAGTTTCACAAATAAGACCTACTTGCTGACTGAAAATTGCTTGGCAGGAATACTGTCACTTGTGTGAATTTATATTCTTCAGTGGCGGGGGAAATCATAGCATAATGGTTAGAATTTAGTAAGAAGAATGTGTGTTTGGAGGTGTGAAGAACTGAGTTGGCTGGGTTTCTCGGGGTCCTTCTATGTGTCCAGCCTGCTACCAAACCTTCAGGCACAATTAGGTCAAAGGTTTCATGGGACTCTAGACTCCCTCCTCTCCTCGTGTTTCCTCTCTTCCCCTGTCTCTCTCACAATAACACGATAATCGCTATGCATGATTTAAAGGGCCGCTGGAAGACCAGGGAGTTAATGCTGGTGGCGTGCTAAGCACGAGCAGCTGAAGGATCATAATTCAGTGCTGACATCTGAGCTAATCCACTAGTTTGCAGAATCTCAAGACAAGCAGGCCTCTGAATTTCACTTAGTTAAATCATTTGTGCCCCACTTGTCTGTTAAGTGCTATGAGCTCCAGGGAAGAAAGATGATATGTAAATTTAAGGAATTAGCAGTAGACATCAGTCAGAGGGACGCTGAGCTGCAAAATGTCCCTGCCTGTCACTGACAGGGGCCTGATTAGATCCAGGGACACTGCAAGAATGGTTCAGACCAAGGAACGAGGGAGCAGGGGATGCAGAGGGAAGAAAATGGGCATTAATTGAGCACCTACTATTTTCCCCAGGTGTTATACTACAGATCTATAGTGG